TTCCTTTTGCCCTCCCATCCCTCATCTTGTTTCAGTAAACCATCTTGTCTTCCTTCCCAACATAAGATTCCATATAGTGCCCCAGATGCCACATGTGTATCTGCTTCCCAGAAACCACCAATCACCTCCTTCCACAAAACTTCACATGAACTGCAGCCGAGTAAGCTACAGCCACAACCCAGTGCAGAGGGAGAAAGAACGTTCGTGGGCTGCCATTCTCATATGGAAGGGCTCTTTTCAAAATCCACGGCTTGAATCAAAACTCCCATGGGAAAAGACATTTACAAGCTAAGTAGCTTTCAGAGGCTCTCAAGTCACTTCACTGGACTGAGCACCCTCATGGCACTAGACTCATGAGGAAGCTTGGTAGTTCAGGTTGCCTGCTGAATTAAGAGACCCCAGCTCTGGTCCAGCCATGGAAGTGTAGTCAGTTCTAGATCCTGTCAAGGGTCTCTCTGTCTCTGTCTCTCTCTCTCTCTGTCTCTTTCACATGCATACATGTACAAGTACTCTCTATCATGAAAGAGAAAGAAAGGAAGGAAAAAAGAAAGGGAGGGAGGGAAGGAGAGCAAAAAAGAAACCCTAGCTCTAATACTTTCAAGTCTTCTGATCTTGGGCAATCTCACTGGTGCCCAAGCATTTCATCTGTCAAGCGAAATAATAAGACCTAGCACAAGGATGGGGGCTTAAATAAGTTAATATAAGCAAAGTACTCAGAAAGTACTTAATAAGTGGAAGGCAATCAATAATGGCCTGTCATTATTGTTGCTGCTATTATTATTGTTATTATCATTTGTACTGTTATTAGACTTGGCTCCAAAAGAACCTAAAGAGGGACATTTCCCAAGGTAAGAGAGAGAAGGGGAGCGTGCACTTACTTATTTGGTTGTTCAGCCTGAAGGCGATGTCCAGCTGCAGGATAAACAGCATGAACTGGAACCACGGACTCATCTCCATTGGGGGCAGGGGGATGTGGACAGAAAACACAATGTCGTTGGCTTCAATTTCCCTTGGAATCGCTTCCTCGATGTCTCGGATCTTGTCACACTGATTAGGCCCCCAAGGCATTAACCACTTTGCCTTGTGATGGTTCTTACGGACATCCACGCATTTCACTGACATGTAGGACACTGCCGTTGTGGGACCAGGAGCTGAAAGGAGAATGTTTTCGAGTTTTACAAAGGCCATCTACTGAAGTGACCATTTCTGGTTAATGTTCTGTCCACTACTGTCTTCTTCCCAGTTTTTATAACTGTCTTCTGCCACTGGGGATCCATAATACCTGGGATCTCCTAAATCCAGGTGAAGATCCTTCAGTAAGATGTCATCAACATATTCCCAAGAGGCTTTCCAATTGTTTTCGGTCATGGTGACTTAAGTAACAGACGTGTAAAGTCACCACAGTGGCATGGCGGTAATGCAACGCTCCACCATGCTGAAGGCACAAGGGAAGCTCCCAGGTTCACTTCCAAGGCCTCCCTGGGCACACCAGAACAGCTGGCTAAGGCTGGAAAAAGGATCGCAGCATGCAGACCCTGCTGGACGCATGCCTCTCCCTCTCTCTCTCGCTGTTTTCTTCTCTCATGAAAAAAATAAATAAAAACAAACTTTATTTTTTTAAAGTTTACTTTAGTCACAATAATGTGTGTGCACACATGAAAGAGAGAGAAGCACCCTCGACATGTTCTCATCATGCCACAGTCTCCTGCATTCAGCATCCAGCACATCAATATCTTGGCATGTGTACACACGCTTGGAGTGTTTCAGGTCCACCTCGCTGGGAACGTGCACCTGCATTTAGCCATGTGGCTTCCAGCACTGCAGTTCAGTATACCACTAACCACTACAGACACCGGGCCAAAAATAAACCTTCAGAAAAGGAAAAAAAAAAAAAACATTTGTAACCAGTCTAATTCCATTATCTCCTTACTCCAAAACAATGTCACAAATATCAACTGCAATTGGGGACCAGCAGGTGGCATGATGGTTAAGGCACTGGACACTCACTCCCACATGGTCCACCACGGTTCTACTCCTGGACCTGGTGGCTTGCTTTCTTGCTTTCCCTCTATCTTTTCTCTGCTTCACTTTAGTGAGTTAAAAATATATAAATTAATTAATTAAATTAGATAAATAATAAGTTTCTTTCCTTTTTTTTTTGGAGAGGTTTTTGCTACAGGGCATATGCACTCACCAGAGAGACAGACAGACAGAAAGTGAGAAATCACCCTTCAGGG